TTCTAGAAACAAATACTTAATCTGCTCCCTCAGACTGCAGAGTAGCTTCCTTCAAGCTGTCAAGCAGTAATCATTACCATACCACAGAAACCAGACAAGGGCTTAACCCAGAGGCCTTGCACAGAGCCCCTTCACAGGGCTATGTGCCTTGGCATACAGTACCAGAAACTGGATATGTTTATATTGTTATTCTCTCCAGCATAAAAGGACAATGAGCAAAGAATATGGTTTATCTTCAGGCTCCATTGTGGGTCTTAATATGGATATCCCATACAGCAAGCATGCCAGTGATGCTGCAAGGGGCACTGGGGAAAATGGCACCAAAACAGTGATTAAAGCCCTGAGGGATATTGGGTTGAAAACAATCAGGTTGGGTAAAATGTGCATGAGGAGAAGAGTCATAGCTACAGCACTAAAGAGGACTGACGCTTCTACTCACTCAGATAGTCTGATAGAGTAATAGGTGTACAGAATTGTCAGCATCCTAAGGCATAATAATAACTTCTTAGAGAAAATCAAGAATTTTAAACATTGCTACTCTTCAGGTAGATTTCCTTATACTTAAAAATTACATTTTATGAAAAAAAAAAAACCACCACAATATTAATATCTTTTTTAAAAAATAAAACAAATTATAAAGCCATTTCTGAGAGCTCTTTTTCTAGCTATTTGTTTCCCTTGCACTGCATTGTATCTCATATAAAATATTACAAATTTTACAAGCATAATACTGTTCCAGTGACTGAACACACTGCCTTCAATTTTAAAGCAAATTTCTACCAAACCAAACATCAGTTTCCTAACTGCAAAATGTAATATTCACGTTTGAATTAGCAGAGCTGGGGAAAACAAAAACAAAACCCTCCACATACTACAGCTGAGCTCAAGTTTAATTCTGATATAAATAAATCTACATATAATTAATCAAATAATTTTGGTATTAACTACAGTTTTAAGTGACTCTTGGAGGGATAGCTAATTCACTGAAAAGTTACATGAAATAAATTTTTATGTATGATATAGGCCTTCCTCAAATTAATATTAAGTTGTATTATTTTTTATATTTTCAAAAATGTATCACTTTCATTTATGTATTATGCAATGATATTTTTCATTTTTTTTCATTTTTTTTGTCTCGAGCACAGGTTTGTTAATGCATAATAAATGCCATTGAATTCTAACTATATTACTCAAATTATAAATGCTGATTGTTGTTGTTGTTATTTTTTCAAAAAACTTTTGGATTCAGTTTTGCATGTAGCTTTTTAGAAAAAGGATTTGAAAGTTGAGGAGAGATGATGATGGGGATTACTTCATGTACTTATTCCAGGCATTTTCTGTCTTTGAAGTATGGACACAGGGAAACAGCCTCGCGTAATGCTGGGGTGGGTTTAGACTAGATATTAGGAAGAATTCCTTCACAAAAACTATGATTATGTATTGTCCAGGGAAGCGATGGAGTCACTGTCCCTGCAGGTATTTAAGAAACATGGATGTAGTGCTTAGGGACGTGATTTAGTGGTCTTGATGATTTTGAGTCTTTGCAACCTAAATGATTGCAAGATTCTATGGCATTAGCCATGATTTCATTAAACTTCCATCTTGTGCCTCTAGCATTTCACTCTTCCACTCTTCCATTTATGAAGCTGATTGAATGTGAGATAGAAGTAATAAGGATTACAGGTATCTTGATTATAAACGTTTCAGACCTGCTTGCCTCAGCTGTAAAGTAAATGCTACTCACCTTTCTTTGCTTACCATTTGAGAATGTATTCCATTTTCACCAAATTCACTGGAGTGAACAACAGAACAAAATCAGAGAATAACACGCATTCAAGATGGAGAGTAATCACACGTGCATACCAAACTTGTAATAACATCAATCACAGTAGGAAAGAGAAGGTAGATTTTTCTTAGGTGGCAAAAACTATGAGATGTCCCTGGATTTTGGTTTAGGACCTAAGTTACAGAATATACAACAAAGTACATTTCAGCTGTAGACAATAATTGACAATATGAACGCTCATTACTAGCTATCAAGGTATTTTTGTTTGCTTTAAAAACACATTTATAACTAGACCCCTGGGGGGGCAAGTGTTTTCTTAAATATGAGAGTAAGTTTAAGTAAGCCACAAGTAGAATAAAACATTAAATATGCATATCCTTCAAGACGTAACAATTCCTTACCTTCTGATATATATATATATATATATATATATATATGATTTTTCCAGAGTTGAAAAGGTTATTGATTTTAAAAAGATCTAGGAAAGCATCAAGTGAATGTATGAAAATCAACACCAAATATTATTTCATATTTTGGAAATAAATAAGAACTCTTGCCCATCTTGGTAAATCTGGAGGAAGACTTCTGTAACAAATTCTCATACTGTTATTGTTTTGTTTGTTTGTTTAGGAAAAAAAAGATGCATATAACTTGCAGCAGATACGCAAATATTGTAAAAATCATGTTCTTGAAAATTTTACACTTTGAAAACTAGGCATTAATACAATTTGTATATGGAAATACTTCATTTTGAAAAGTCCATTGAGAGTGGTAAAAAGAACATATGGAACAGCTATAATCTATAGAATCTAGATTTTTAAGTCAGATACTCAAATCTACAATGTCAGGTTGGTTTTTTATTTTCTTTAGTGTTAGAACTTCATCCAGGTATAGAACACTCCACAAATCTTCTTGTGAATGAAATTTTTATTTACACACTGTATCCAGAAGCAGATACATAAATCCTTATACAATTATTTCTCCAAAATGTGCAAGAAATTACTATAATTTTGTTTACAAACCAAAACACATTAAAATCAATGGACTTTGGATAATTAACTCTGTGGCGTGCTTAGTACAAATAGTGCACACCAGGTCTGAAACAGAGAAAAGTGTAAACTACAGCAATCTGGATTGCAAGTATTAACTTCATGGCACTCCATCATCACTATAAAAATTCTTTAACCCGACATAAACTCATAGAAAATTCTTGAAGATTTTTTCACTATCTTTGTAGAATTTAGGAGTTTCCAGACACATCAATACCGTATAACGAACTACCATCTTGTCCATTTTTTATTTATAAAGGATGTTTCTAATTTTTATTCTTTGCAGTCATAAAAAGATTGAAAGAAATGAAACTCATCCGTAGCTTAGCTCAGAAATTGAAAATACAGTAACAGAGAAATACTTCCTCAACAGAATCATAGCCCATATATTGCTGGTATGCAGTGTAAAATTTATAATTCCAGTATTCACGTAGATGAAATGCATCACAAGAAAAACTGCACAGATTTCACTTAGCCCAGCACCCAATATTCAAAGAAAGAAATTGGCCTTAACAAAATGTAAAGTCAGTTCATTGATGAACAAAGAATTTAATTATTAATTGCATTTCTGATCCTTCTGACAGGAAAGCATCTTTATCAAAAGATGATATTTGCTATGTCAAGAGCAGGATAAGTGCTGTATCCTTCAAATTGATAAAAGAATACAACTTTCAGTTGTTTATAACACTGACCTATAAATTTTTTAAAAAAGAAAAAACAGTGCAAAATTTTATATGTTCAAATAACAGACATTGTTTTACTCTTCTAATCAGCGAAACACAAGTGTTACTAATAATTTCAGTTATTTCATATGCTCAAAAAAAGAAATTTTATTTCAAAGTTTCATTCTGAAAAACGTTCCACAATTCAGTTGCATAAAAGGCCTGTCTTTTGAACCCTTAAGCTGTTGTGCTGAATAAATAGTTACTTTTTTACTCTATAAAAATGATAGTCACTTAAGTTTTTCGTAGTGTAACTATTTTAAAAGTCCTCAAAATATCTGCAGTTATTTTCCTTTTTGTTTGTCAAGAACACATTGTTTCTCTAAATTTTACAAAGTAGACATAAAACAATTTTTTGTGGTTACTCTGAGTACTTTAAATTGTCTCATAATTGTTACTGTGTTTATTCTATATTAATATCTCTTCCATGAAGTTGTAATTACCCTTAAGGTTTTCAAAGTATTTTTTCTGGGTTCCTTCTCCTGGCTGTCCAATTACCTTAACATAAAACATACTGAGAAATTCTGAATAATGAAACCTGTAAAAATAAGTATTGGGTTTTTTGTTTTTGTGTTTTGTCTGCTTACTACTGAATTGAAGTATTTTGATCTCAGTAGAAACATCACCTCAATTTTATCAAGAAACAAAGCGCTATGTGGTCCCCACATCCTAGGCCTCCAGTACTTTAAAACGTTCCCTTTGTGGAAGCTTTATAGGAGGGGGGAAAATGACAAAAGTAAGTTGACCTGATTAAACAAATATAGCAAGGGAGGAATTCAAGAACTGGACAGCTGAACTACAGTTTCAAAAATCATCAACACATATGAGTGAACAAACAAATCTGAAAAGGCATGGGCACGTGTTCTTACATATTTTTCAATTCAGCAATAAGAATGGGATATTATAGATTCAAATACTTTGATTTCAACGTAGTAACTGCTAAATTAACGCATGTGGCATAGTATAACTTTAATGCATTCAATAGTGGTATTTAATGGCAAAGAAAATATTTATTATACAATAATCTTTCAAAGATTCTGTAGAATGCATAGGCCCTCCAGCTTGCACAGGGAAAGAATTTTTAAAGTGAAGTAAATGCCAGAGGTTTTTTTCCAAAGATGTATGCATCTGAAAACTATAAAAATGATTTTCTTTTTCTCCTCACAGACAGAACCAGAACACTGTACCATACAATAGGTTATTGTGCCTTCTTTGAATAAAGTTAGTGATTCTGATTCAGGGGGGTTAGAGCTGGGGAGATGTCAGTAGAGGAAAAAAAGAAAACAGAATTCACACTTGCATACATGCATCTCAATTGCAGAAACAAATTATGTATATAGACAGCTCTGATTTTTTTTTTTTTTTTAATTTAAAACTTTTACCAGACTAAAGAAGAAATCCTTACTCTCACTTCCTTAAAAGCAAAGGCAGCCTTTATCTACCTTTGTAATTTTTTTTTGTTTTTTGTGTTTTTTTTTTTTTTTACTTTTTTGTTAAACATTATGGTCAAAAAATAAATTAAAAAAATATAAATTTTGTCTATCAATTCAGGCAACCCAAGATGTAGTGCTATTACACCACCTTGCAGCAATAGTGTATTCATTACTAAAGACTCACTTCAGGGGGCAAAAGGCCAGATAAAACAAAAAGAAGAAAATGACCTAAAAAAAGAAAGATGTATCAAAGATAAACAGCCCTTTCTATGGTGATGTTTACTAACCAGTAAATCCTACCAGAGATGGGGAAGATGACACTCTGAAATACTAAAATCTAGGGACAGAGGGAGGCGGGCAGAGTAAGCCTCCCTTCCAAGTCTGTTAGCCATGATCCCTTTAACATAAAAGGGACAGAATCACGGGCAAGGAGGAGGAGTAAAAAAATTTAAAAAAAAAGGAAAAAAGAAAAAAAAGAAAAGGAAACAAAAAATGCCATGGATTAACATTGCAAGAATGAATGATTGCAGTGTGGAACCTGTATTCCCAACTAAAAGTCTTTTTCCCTATCGAATGTCAGAATAACTATAAGCTTTTCAAATGCCAGAATCTTCGACAGATATCATAAAAATTTACTTAATGGATTCAATATTTCATATGTCAAAACATATTTCATGACAGTTAACTGAAATATTTTCTGTGGTCATTATATATTCAAACCTCCCCTCCCCAGAATATTGAGGCCTATGAGAATAGAGCTTTAGAGATTCATTTCAAGCAACTTCCATCCAAAATATTATTAGTCCTATTTTTTCCTTTACAGAAAAATGGAAAATCCTGAAACTCCTAGTATTTTTAATAAATATTGTAGAAATCCTTCTATTAGAAGTTTTACCCAATCCCTGAAATGGTTTATCAGTTCGTATTTCAGTAAAAGCTTTTCCTAGAGTCTTCCTACAATTTCAGGGCATATTTTTGCCCAAAGGGAGGTAAGAGGGTCAACAACAGAAAGAGGGGTCCTGGTAGGAGTTTGCTCAATTAACTGATGGCATTTAAAGATATTTGATGTCATCCCGATACTGCAACTTCCTCATAGGTATGATGAATTGACACTCACACACTTCTTTTTTTAAAAGGCCATTTTTAGAAGAACAAAATACTGAGACAATAAGAAAGCCGAACCAACTTTCTCAAACACAAAGTAGTGTACAGACAATACAAGGCTTAAAAGAAAGATGCTTTGTTCTTTATTGGGTTTGGGGTTTTTTGTTTGTTTTTAAGATATCTGCTGCATAAGCATGTCTTTATCACACAGCTCTTCCATATTAGAAATTTATAATTAGGAAACTAAGAAATCATTTTTAGGATAGATGTAAATTCTTTAATTTAGAATACCAATGTTTTAACCATGATCATCTTTTTAAACAGGCTATTTTAAAGGAATAAAAACCCATTGAACAAGTTTCATTGACTTTTACTTATGGTTGAATACACATGAAATGTGCTTTCAATGCATAAAAATCACAGTGGATAGCAGCAAAGGACTTGGGGGAAATTAAGGATAATTTGATCATTCACATTGTGATTAATCTGCACATTGATGAAAGATAGCTATTTCACACTTCTAAAAATAAAGTTGAGATCATTCTTTACAAAAAAAAAAAAAAAAAAAAAAAAAGCCCCCCAAAATACACAACCCCCCTCCCCAAAACAAACATAAATCCAAATGCATTACCTTTCTTTTACACACAAAAATGAAATATTGTTATGGCAGCAAAAGATTTTGATAATAATGAAAGTTTGTAAACTGTAATTCAATCTCTTTTGTTGTTGTTGTTCCCAAAGTGCAAGATGCAAGATTCCCATAAGCTTTCAGTAGTGCTTTTCCTGTAAATAATCCTTCATTTTGTTTGGCAAAGGCAGTTTCTGAATCAGGTCTATTCTGGTGTACTGACGTATTACAAAACGACACAGGTATTGTAAAGAACGCACCTGCATAAACCGAGATACTGGATTTGTTAGTCTCACTGGATAAGTTGCAGATCCAGGCAATCGGGATCTTGAATAGCAGAAAGCTCCATTTTCAGAGTCCCTGATCGAATGTTCAATTAGGTCAACTATAGACGTATGCCCCTCCACATCTGGTTGTTCATAAAAGCTAAACCTACCATTTGAATGTTCAATTCTAGTGTGAAGTGTTTTCCCATGGGAACGAAAACTCAAACTTAAAAGATAACGGTCATCAGAACTGTCTCGAACAAGAAACGAGCCATCAGGCACATTAGCTAATTTTCCCTCTGCCTCCCAACGCGTAATGGGGCCCCAGTACCATCCTTGTTTTGCAAGTTTTTTCAGTTCTTCTGTGAGACTTGTCACAACCATAGGACCACTGTTCTGTACAGAATCATAAACTCTTCCAACTCCAGGGGCAGTGTTAGGATCAAAATTCAAATGGCAGCGCATACTTTCGGCCACATGGGCATCAGTGCCATTCAATCCATTAAAGTTCCTTTGGATTTGATTATTCTGCATTGGAGGTAGCAAAGGTGAAAGTGGAGGGACATCACTGTGATTAACTCTTGGACTTTGCAACATGACTCCTGTGGTACCAATCAACAAACCATTCACTGTCTGGTCCACAAAGATATCCGGTGCAACTACTACATCCTGATCCACTTGACTCTCTTCTTCATGGAAAGCGTTTCCTCCCACTTGAGAAGAAACAGTTGAAACTTCCATGGGTGAGGAACTATCCAGACAGTAACTACGTGATCCTTCCAAAGGATACATTCCCTCATCTAAAGGCACAGTATACTGAATGTAGTCCTGAGGCATTAATCCAATAACTACAGGCACATGTTCATCAATATGAAGATGCAAGTCCCCATTCTGAGATTCCGTATTTTTTAATACATTGTTTTGTTCCTGGAACACGTTTTCTGACTGCAAGTCATGGAAGTCCTTTCGAACACCATTCAGTGCTGGGCCTGGATTAGAGGAATGGACCAAGGCCTTGACTTTCACTTCCATTTTTATGCAAGTCTCTTCTGAATTTGTAGGTCGAAGGGGCCATGGAGTTGGACTGTAATGATGATTACGGAGGGAAGTGGATCTCAGAGGTCTTTGAGCTCGCACATCTTTGAAAGTTATTGGAGCAGATGACGAAGAAAAGGTGTCATCATCTGCAGAACTTCCAGATGGTGTGCTGCCTTTGCCTTTTTGCTTTTGTTTTGCTGAAAGCCTCCTTTTTAACGTACCCATTAAACTTTCACTTTTTGATCTATTTTTGCCTCCTTTTTCATCTTCACTATTGACTTCACAGCTAGCCAAATCTTTACCATAGCAGCTGCCAAATAGGGAGTCATCTTTTCCAAATTCACTTAAAGATGGCTGTTGAACCACTACAAAGTCACTTTCATCTTTACTTTTATTTAAGTTAAAGGACTTGCGAATTGTTTTGAGACTAATTTTCTTCATTATGACAAGTTACCACGTCTGGCTGATCAGCAGTGCTTGTGGTGATATAGCCCTAACACATGCAGAGCAGCTTCTGCTTCATTTATGTGTTTTATCCAGCCCTCATTTAACTTCAAGAGCCATCTCCTGGAAGCAAATAAAAAAAAAAAAAAAAGAAAAAAAAAATCAACTTCACAAAAGAAATTTTTAAAATTATCAATAAAGATTTTTTTTTTCCTTCTAAACAAAAATTGCAGCACTTGAGTAAAAGGCATCAAATAAACATATGGGGAAAAAGCTGACTTGGAAATCAATGAGACTCCAAAAGTGAATCTGTCACTGGTGCCTTGATTTCCACAACTTCATTCTGCTTTTATCATTCTATTTTAAAATACACACATATCACACGCACATATATAAAACTGTAAAGCAAAGAGACATCTCTTTCAGAAAGCATATAAAAACATCCCCACAAAAATAACTGCAGAACATAAAATGATGTAAGATACAAATCCCAATTACAGTCACACATGCTTTAACACAGATTTAATACAGATTAAAGCATGATTAGTCACAGTCACACTTTTTTTTTTTTTTTTCTCCATAAGGTAGTAGAGCAAATCTCAGGTAATTGTATAATTACAGGAAAACTAATTCAAGTCAATGAAAATAGAAAGAATTTAACTGCAAAATAACATCTACTGAGAGAAAATAATGGAAGCCCCTTCCCAAAGCACTATTAAAAAAATTATTTCCAAACTTTTAGACACAAAGGAGGTAATTCACAGGCTTTCATTGCCTAGTACTACTACTGCTGTTTAGTACTTCTGCCAAGACTAAGCGGACACATCTTCTCAAGTCCAAGGCAACTGTTCCACCAGGCATTTTCTATAGTCATGTGTACACATACGAACACATGACCATAAGCCTTATTTTTCAGTTTCTTTTTCTTCAGCATTGACTAAACCAGTCAAAGAAGCAGTGCTGCAGAGTAGGGAGAACAAAGACAAGGACAATAGAAGAGATTGGGAGGTTGCTTCTGCCTTGAAAGTACAGTACTTTTAGTAGCAATCATTATGCCACAAGCATACAATTACACAGCATGTTAGCAGAACAAACTGCAGCAGCAAACTTGGCCCCTGGGATAAGTATGGCAAACTGAAAGAGACTATGAATCTTAAAATATATAGGTGGATAGACACAGGCAGAGAAAGAGAGAAGTCATCTCCCTACTTTGAAGACAGACACCAATTTTCGCAGACCTCAAGAACACAAATGCTAAACGATCATATCAAAAACTAGCTAAAAGACAGTGAAAGGAATCTAAGGATTCTGAACTTTTTCTCATAAACAGCAGAAATGCTGAAAGCTTGATTTACACAGATTTGTATCCTAGCCTTCAATTCTTTACCATCTGCATCACACTACTCCAAAGACATGTTCTGTTTTTAAAAATAGAAATTTAATATCTAAAATAATGTCAAAAGATAAATCTCTATGGCAGCATATATACAGAAATGACAATGTTACACTTTGAGAATGACTACTGAATATGCTTGAACAAAACGTGTTCTACACTTAGTCTACTTTAACAGCTGATATTTTTAATCAAGCAAAATGCATGACTGCCCAAATTCTTGAAACTCTCTTTCTATACTAGTGATATTTCACATAAAGAAATGATAAAGACTTTTAATTCAAATATAAATCACCAGATACAGTGTGTGTGTGTATATATATATGTTTACATTCAGAAGTCCAGCCCATTAATCCAGGAAAAGATTATAAAAATCCAGTGAATGACAGTCCTGGCCGAAGCTCTCTGAAGCAAACTGAGAACACCAACAAATTAGATAAAGTCTCTAAACAAGTTTTGTCTAAAAGGAAGTCATGGTACATTATGACATCTTACATGTTTTTTTTTTTTATCCAAGACAGAAAAAGCAAAAGTATCATGAAGTCAAATACCCCAACTGATCCAAATATTCTTCTTCATTTGTACTAGCAAATGAAAAAACTAGCAATTCTGCATTACATATATGTTTAAACAGTTCTCAATGTGAGATAAGCTAACATACTTGCAAGTATAAAATTTTTCACTGTCTGCATCCACAGAAGTTCAAACAGAAGAGCTCAGCATGCATTACTTCCTGGAATACATTAAAATGAGTTGCTGAATTTCATCAGAACTCTCAGCAATGCAGCAGCTTCACAAGTATTTTCTATATCACAAGAATTACAGCATCACTGAAGTCTTGCATAGATGTGCTCTTCCAGTGCCATCTGCTGTACTGTGCATTTAAGAAGTCTAACTAGAAATACCTCTGGAAATATTTCTGGCAGATATTTGTAACTATAAACATGCTCTGGAGCACATTAATGCACTGCAAAGCTTGGTTACTGTAAGCAGTAATATTTGGAACACTGACTGAAAGCAAGAGAATAATCAGACCCAGAAAAATAACGAAATATTAATGCAGACTAAAGAGTCAAAATGAAAGTTTGGCTTATCAACTTTCAACTCAAGCTCATTTCCAAATCCTTAAAATTATGCAGATTGATAAAACATAGGCATCCTGACTAACAGTATCAGGAATTACTATCCATTACTATCCATTAAATACCATGATCCTCTTTGTGCTATTAAAAATAATCAAACCTAAATATGTATACCTCATATTGAAGTGAAAAAAAAAAACCTACCACCAACATATTAGTCAAAACATGAAGTATTAATGAACAGATACAAAGCTAAAGCTTTACAGGCTGCTTATCTTTGGAGTCAGTCATGTGCTCACATACTGCTATTACACTGGCACTAAATTTAAGAAAAATTTTGAATGCTAAAAGTAGCAGTTTGTGAAATCTAATTAGATGCTGCAAAATGGTTGCAATGACTAGCAGTCAAATATTTATGTCAATGCATTGTATGCAAAAGTAGAAAAGCAAAAGTGATCATCTATATTTACATGGCCTTCAATCATTTCTTACCTATTTCACACTTCCAGATTAGATATACTCATTTCCTGAGACAAATCTCATGAAAAAATTCTGCCAAAAATATACTACTACCAAAATAAAACAGCATTAACACTTAAGGATTGAAACAAAAAACATCATACTACAAATATACAGCACAATGCAACTTACAATTATGCCAAGAATTGCCAACTTTTTAATAAAAATATCATCAGTAAATTTTGTCTGGTATTATTAGTCAGTAGTGCTTCAGATAGCTTAAACTTTCCTAAAAGAAATATTAATCTGCTCATTTATTTCAATAAAGTGAAATAGTCTAGCATTTAACTTAATTTTTTTCCCTTGAAAAGTCTAGAGATCAATTAGAATACATATAATATTTACACAGAATCACAGTAAGAACTGCATCATTTACAACTTTCAGCCAAGCTTATCTTACTTCAAAACATTTGGCACAGCTGTGTATGGAGCTACAGTGAAGAGAATAACATTGACAGGGGAGGAACAATCATGAAAAATACAGATCTGGTGATTTATAAGCTCAACTTTACAAAAAGAAAAGCTTTTCCACTATGAGACCCGTCAGGCATCAGAACACATTCCCCAGAGTTGTGTAATCTCTATCCTTGTAGATTTTCAAGAGTCAACCCTATAAACTCTAAAGAAAGCTTGTCTGATTTCAGGGCTAAGGATGCTGAACTTGAGATGTCCTGAGATTTCTTTCAAACTGAATTATCTTTCAGTTCTATGACTTTAAATATTTTGTACTGCCTGAATTTTTATTAAACTTAACATTTTTTATGGACTTCACATGAAAATCAATGTTTGAAAACACTTCAGAATTCCAACTTTCAGTGCAGTACCACAGATTCATTAATTCTAGTTTTGCTATTGCAAGAAGAAGAGGATTCAGCTTATAAAGAAAATGCAAACACTAGAATAAGCTGCAAATGTTGTACTGTAACAAGCTTCTTTGGAATCACACCGCATGAACCAAGTAACATGCTTCAAATTTATTACATTTTTAACAATTATTTTTATACTCATACATAAATACCTTTAAGTAAAACAAACAAAAAAAGGTTCTGCATTCTTGGGGTGTGACAAATACCAGATTTTCATTACAGTAAGTGAATGAAACCTGCAGAAGTATGAAGCGTCACTCTCCTACTGTCCCCCAAACTCTTCCTAGAAAATACCCATCCATTATTTGGCAGGACATCTCAATAACAGCATCTTAAGGAAACACAGATAATATGAGAAGTAGTTTGTAAATTCCTAAATATCTCTATATATACCAGGATTCCTAAACCTTCTAACATAAATTACCAGGAAGTCGTTCTGCATACATGTTCCCATTCTTTTCACTTCAACAATGAAATCTTTATATGATTGGAAGTTATATCTTTATACCAGTAACAGAAAATATTGACTCAAGTTATTTTCTCCCACCTACTTATAGTTTTAGTCATAGAGTTACATACAATATACTCAATAAAAGAAAAGAGAGACTAAATACCTATTTCAAACACCATCATTATTTTTACAGAACATTTTATTAAATACAATGTGGCAGCTTTCTGACTAGACTTGCTACTAGTATATGGTGATGGTAAGGCTTATCACTTTCCTGATCTTCAAGTAAACTCCTACATTACATTGCTCTTTAAAAAGAAGACTCTTAAAATGAATTCATACAAATTCCACTATTGCTCCTATGTTGAAAGTTCAGACTACTTTGAAGAAAACAAAATACAGTTTTAGTAGTAATTTGCTTGGTAATGGATGAACACTATTTTCAAATGAGTACGAATTTTATGAAAGTTGATATTATCCTCTCTTGAATACCTGCTTTTTTCCTCAAGTATGAATAAACACACCTTCATATAGAACTAGAACAAGGTAAAGAACAGATAAAAGCTCAGTACTTTCTACTCATATAACAATTCAAAAATACTTAATGCTCCCAATTTTTAAGTTAACAAGGCAAAAACTTGAACAGAGTGTAGATAGTATAGACCACCTGTTTAAAAATCCACCTCCTATGATTCGAATAGCCATGGAAATTTCTGTCTGCTTCTCTGAAGGCCAATATAGCCAAACTGGTATTACACAGAGAAACCCTAACCTCTAGCAAAGAATAAGCAAAGTACGCCTTTAATAATAAG